AGATAAATTCCAGAAAGGTACTTCCAGAACTAGCAAAAACTGAACATACTGCTCACTGGTCAGCTGAACACAGTTTTGGTACTGTCCCTGGACCTGAATCAGGACCCAGTTTATAAGGGATCTTACATCAAATTCATGTGTGAGCAGGGTAAGTACCACAAGCATTTTTTAAGCAATGCCAAGTCAGCTGATGCAGATAACTTGACTGCCTGTGCTCAGCAAAATGAGATGTATTTAGTTTTAGCCGACATATTTCATTGTAGTTCAATTTGTAAGCCTTCTAGTAGGTCTCATATAACCTGATATTAAATCATTCACAAGTATACAACAGATTTCATCATAATGTTAGTATGACCCTGTGGCTACTTTCTTGCAATTTTACAACCACACAAATAAAGGTTTTAAGAGATGTTTAACTGTTTGTTTTATATAATGTTACTTGACCTGTATTAAACAGTCAAACAACCCTTTTTACATGTGTTATATATGCAATTTGTGAATACAGTTAAATATATATTTCTACGTAGGAATGGTGAATTTTGTTGTTCAGACCCAAAGAACCAGGCTGGTATAAAACATTAATTAGCCTGCACTTTCTAGTTCTTGTACTTTTCTAAAGAACAATGGAATCTGTTAGAAATTACATCAAGTCATGGAACTTCTTACTTAGCTTTTTATCTACACAGGCAAGACTCCAAGGAAGGCACTGTATAGCTAAGGAGCCTGTGCTTAAAGAAAATGCACACATTTCTAATGTGGAATGGTGAATTTTGTTGTTCAGACACAAGAACCAGGCTGGTATAAGACATTAATTAGCCTGCACTTTCTAGTTCTTGTACTTTTCTAAAGAACAATGGAATCTGTTAGAAATTACATCAAGTCATGGAACTTCTTACTTAGCTTTTTATCTACACAGGCAAGACTCCAAGGAAGGCACTGTATAGCTAAGGAGCCTGTGCTTAAAGAAAATGCACATACAATAATCTTAATTACACACACAGTTCTGCAAATGAGATGTAAAGCCAGCTATGTGTGTGTACATGAAATAACTGTTCAGTTAAATACAGCATTGATTTCTGTGTCTGCTAAATAAAATCTAGTGTGGATTTCAAACAATTACTATCTATATGTTACTATCTAGGACATAATAACACATAATGTATGTCACTACTTTTTAAGCTGTATCACTTCATTTCAGTATTGGCAAGCTTGATTTGCAGTGCATGTGAGTGCATTAGGTCATTAATGTCTGGAGCCCGTGAGAGATTTGTTTCCACTGTATATAACCATGTTTGAGACAGAGCAGTTTGGGTGCTTCTCCAGCATGTCTCAGGCACTTTCCAAAAGTGCTCTTTCTGTGACAGAGATTAATTGCCAGAAAGATTTGCTGCTACTACTAAACACTCTTCAGTTTTACAGTCATTAACTACCAGTCTCTATTTAGAGTTAAAAGGTTTTGTATTCAGTACTTATATTTACATCAGGATACTCAGAAGAGCTGTCCTCTGCCTCAGTGTGAAATAAACTTTGGAAACAGCCTTCTTCTCTAATCAGGCTTGTTTGTAAACAAGTAAAAAATATAAATAATGAAAGACTTCTGTTGTACAAAAGCTAGGCTGCTGGAAGAGATCAGGAGACTGTTCTATGGGGTGGATATAGGAAAGACACATTCCTAATTTGATGTAGTTTATTATGCATGGTTTTTTGTTAGATGAATGGTACTTCTTATGGCAAACCTCTCAAACCTCTATAAAAGGAGGATAAAAATTTGAAAGGATGAGTTTTGTGAGTGCATTAAGACATCATAGTAATTTATTGTGTTGATAAATACCTCTGTTGTAAAAGTAGTAAGAAAATTGCCCTACAATTCAAAGCATGTCAAGAAGATTGAAAAGGAAGACCTGTTTTCCAGGGAATTAGCACAGGGTATGGCAGCTTCAGGACAACTGGCAGGATGCAGGCTGCCTGTGCCCTCCCTGCTCCCTGAACCAGGATGTGCCCCATACCCACAGGGCAGGCTGAGCCCCAACAGCCATGGCATGTTTAACCTGGATCTACCCTGAGACGTCGTTTTTATTCTCTTGGTTCAACCCTGATGGAGTGCTACTAACAGGCTGCAAATTCTACAGACTACATCCTGCCATTAGGGGAATACCCTCAAATGCAGTGTGCTCCCACCCCCAAGGCTTCTCTTTCACTCATGTCACTGCTTTCTGAGTGCTCCCCAGCACTGTGTGACTCCCCAGCTCTGCAACTCATATAACACCTTATTTTAAACAAGCAGAATTAGAAGGCAACCACAAACTTATTAATCATGTGTTTATGAACTCATATTTAGAGTATTTTTCAAATACTGCCTCATGTTTCCTCTTCTTAATTACTAGCAGATTATAATTCTCTATATCCATCCTGCAGCTGATTGGAATTGTAGAACAGTCAGCTAAACCAGAACATTCAGTGTAATGCTGGCAGATCACAGCCTCAAACTTCTTACTTGATAACATAAAAATATGCTCATACATTTTCAGTACCTGCAAGAACATTTAAAGACAATTAAGAAAGCATAATCCTTATGTCCATACAGAGCAAGGAGAGTTTTTTTTCAAAAGCAATTTCTGGTTTTCTTGGTATCTCTCAGTATGACTGCTGTGGGATGCATCAGAATCTGATGTCTCAACCTTTGAAATGGGTTTCCCTCCTCCACTCAAAATCAGGAAATCCAATATGATGGCTGATGTAAAAGTCCAGGTCTGTCCTTTGGTCTGTTCCACACTGGCTCTGACACACTGACTGCATCTGCTTTTTCCATGCCATTGAATCACTTGGGAATAAATCTTATGGCTATGTTAAATTCTATCAAACAGAAAATTTGTGAGTTAATTGGTTGCCTAATATCAACCGGGACCAACTAGTTTATTTTATTTTATAAAGGAATTTTAAATAAGATTTCATTGAGTTAACTGCAGTAATGGCTTGCAAGCCAATCTGATGTAATTTACAGTGTCCTCTGATTTGAGGCTGTCATGTTTTATGCAGTGACACCTACAAAGTCAGACTATATTCCTACCACATACCACTTTGTTACAGAAGACTTTGATATGTGATGTAATTTTATGCATCTGCACACAAACAAATCAAACTAAAAAATAGGATCCTATGGTTGTGTTTCAAACATTTTCTATGAAAATATGGAGAAATTTGCAGAAGAATTTTTAGACTTTATGTGGCAAAGCAGATAACCTTCTCTAATACTTAGACCACTTGAGAGTACTACAGTTTATCAAAAATGTCAGTGCTGTTCTCTGCTCAAATGCCCCTGATTAGATGAGAGGCTGTTTCACAAGATTTATTTTGGACAGGCATGACATATGAATTCTGCTTGCAGGATATTGCAAGTAAGGTTGATGAAAGGTTGACTGGGAGAGAAGGGTAGCAGTCTCAAGGTACCATTCTGTAACACCTAGCAAACAATAGAGATGCCATAAATCTTCCCTATGGCCAACAGCAACTCGGGGGATACCTAACCCTGGAAGTGCCTTGCCTACAGCAACGTGCAGCACCAATACTTTGCTCTAACACAAGGTCATCTGTGCTCCACTGAGATCCAGAACCAAGATTTTCCCATTAAATATGCTGAGAGATTCAAAATAAAGGTATATTTGGATATGTAGAACACATCTCCCCAAAAACTGCAGACACAGATTCAGATTTCAGTGTTTCACTATGGGAATGGACTGAAATATTTTCCTTGCATGTAAAAGCCTTGACCACAATGGTCACATTCAATGGCATTGATTTTATTTTTATTTATTTTTTATTTGGAAGACCATATCCACCTGCATTGGACATAGAGGCATACATGACTAAGAGCACAAACTGCAGTGATCTGCACTGTGATCACCTATAGGAAGCGTGCAGTGAAATCCTCTTCCTCAAGCTCGGTGACATCAACCACAGAGTCACATCGGGGCGTCCCAGCCTGCTCTGCCACGGAGCAGTGCATTCCCACGGATGTGGCAGATCCTGCTGTGCCCGCTGTTACCTCCCTGGGCTGCCGTGGACCTTGTGAGTGTCACTGCGAGCCTTGTCCCCAGGCCCTGGCGACAGGAACGGCTGGGGCTCAAAAACCCTCTACGGGGTTTTGAGGCTGACTGGGTTAGTGCAGGCTGCTTTTATTCACCAATCTTCCTGCCCCACGCCTGCCCCCACACCTCCAGCACCGATGGAGCACACGGAGGGACAGAGCTGAGGACACCGTGCCCCAATTTCCCACTCCTGACTATTTCGGGAGCAGCAGCTCTGCCCGCGGTGTGAGCGGTGTCTGCTGCGGGACAGCCCCGCTGTGCCCATGGCTCGGGACAGCCCCGCTGTGCCCATGGCTCGGGACAGCCCCGCTGTGCCCATGGCTCGGGACAGCCCCGCTGTGCCCATGGCTCGGGACAGCCCCGCTGTGCCCATGGCTCGGGACAGCCCCGCTGTGCCCATGGCTCGGGACAGCCCCGCTGTGCCCATGGCTCGGGACAGCCCCGCTGTGCCCATGGCTCGGGACAGCCCCGCTGTGCCCATGGCTCGGGACAGCCCCGCTGTGCCCATGGCTCGGGACAGCCCCGCTGAAGCCGGCGCTGCCCCACCGCGGCTCCGGACACCCCGGCAGCGCCTTCGAGAGCCCAGGCTGCCACCTGCGCTTGGCAGAGCCCCGATCTCAGGCAGATAGACGAATCAACCTGGTTTAGCGCCGCAGAAGCCTCAGCAGCTCACCGGGCATCAGGAGACCGCAGGAAACTCCCGGTGCGGCGCCCGGCTGCAGAGTGTGCCGAGGGGCTGGCCGCAGCGGCAGCTCAGCACACGCCGTGTGCCAGCCCCGAGCCGCTCGGTGCAGCCCCGCGCTGTCCCCCCCGGTGCCGCGCACCTGCCCGCGCATCCCCGCACCGCCGCCTGGCCCCGCGCCGGCCGGTCCCGAGCCGCGGGGCTGCGAGCGCTGCGGCCCGCGCTGCCCTTACCGATGATGATGGCACAGGCGCTCACCAGCCCGATCTCCTTCTTCAGCGCCACCCGCGCGGGGCCGCCGGGCGCCCGCTGCTCCCCGCCGGCCATCGCTGCTCTGCCCCGCGGCCCCGCGCGCATGCGCCGCCCCGCGCGGGACCCCTGAGGGCGGCGGCGCCTGAGGCTGCACCGCCCTCCGCACCTGCGAACCCGGGGGGCCGCGGGGCCGGCAGAGCCAGCGCTCTGCGGGGAGGGCTCAAGCCGAGCGCCGGGCTCGGACATTCGGCGTGCCGGGCAGCGGGTCCTGCCCCCCGCCGCGAGCCAGCCCGGCGCCGTGCCCGGGCCCCCTGGCGACCGCCTCCTCTTGGGCTCCGTTAGTTGAGGTAGTGCGATAGCGGAAAGAACAAACGTTTCATTGCTTGTCATCGGTACCGCCAGAGTTAAAACCAAGACGGCAATGCCCAGGGTTGGCTGGTTTCCGTAATTTTTACTTTAGTTTCTCGGCCCTTTCTTCCCACGTTGTTTGACGCTTCTGACGGGATCCCGCCCCGGCTCCCTGGTTCCTGAGGGGCTGAGGGGCTGCCGGGGCTCCCTCCTCCGTCCCCCACAGCCCCGCGGGGCTCGCCGGGCCGGCTGCGGCTGCTGAGCTGCAGCTGCGGGTGTCTGCCGCGGAGCGCAAGGAAAGAAATGCTTTCTTTCCTCACACAGGAAAGAATGAATGTTGCGATGTGCGTTCGGCAAATCTTTGCTCTGTGAACAAACTGCCTTCACAGGAATGTCAGTGAATGAGGTCTGCTCTCATATGATATCAAAAAGCTCAATCGTAGCTTGGGGACCTGGGCTCTTCCCTCAAGCTGTAACAGCCGAGGGTTTATTGATGGCAATGCCCAGTTCGTCACTTGTTTGTAAGAGGAACACCTTCCTGAGAGCATTTCTGTGTTCAGAGAAGACCCCCGCGTGGGTGACCTATTCTGAAAGTGCACAGGTTAGAAAATTTCCTGAGAAGATTTTGTGGTGACTGACAGCGCGCACCAGCTGCGAACAGTGAGGCAGTGGGAGCTGGTTGTGGCGGGGTGGGACAGGGAATGTCTGGCTTTTCACCTCAGCGAAGGAAGTTGGGAGGTTTCTGTGGTGACACCAATCTGATTTTCTTTGTCTTCACAATGAAAAGTATGACCTAACAACTGGTAAGCCTTTTGAGAAAATCCGTGGATTATTCTTAGAAAGCTGATAATTGTAAGTGATTTTGCTTTATACTGCTGCTTTATTCTGCTGCTTTTATAGAAAGGCTTACTGATTTTCAGAGGCTGAGGCTTGTTTCCTAAGTGGATCTACTGCTCTGTTTCTGAACGAGCTGCCTCACTAACCACTTCTAAAATGTCCTTTTATTGAATTACTATGTGACAAGAAAGTTTGCAAGAAGAGTTACTTTTTGAACTGTATAAACAGTACTACTCTTCTCCTTTTAAAGACCACGAAATATATGCAAAGACTGGAAACAAAGTTTCAGGTATTCAAAAGTAACCTGATGTATTAGGTGTTTCTTCAAGCTGCCCTAATTGATTGCTTCCCAGCTTTGTTTCTTAGTAACTCATGTATAGTCTAGTAAGTACCTCTGAAAGTCTCTACATGTTAGCCTTGTACAGGCGTTATAATATATTTTGGGAAAGTTTTCTATGATAGTCTATTTCTTTTGTGAAAGCTAAAAAAAATTAGTTTCAACATCATTTTAAAAAGTACAAAAGTTAAGAAATGTGAATGAATGGTGTTTCTAACTCAATAGAGTTTCAAGAACCTAATGAAATTTAGTCTTAATTAACCTTTACAGAAAAACCACACAATCTGTTAAGTGAATGACACTTAGAAGGATAACACTGCCCTTGCTTTCTTTGGCTGTGGTAAGTGTTGCTTTGCTCTGAATATGTGTATGATCTTTGTGGTATTGTGAGGAAGAGAGAAATGCCAGCCAGCCCTCTTTACTGATTAGTGAGCAACAGAGCATGCTGGCTGTGGGATGATGGAAACGAATACTAGAATTCAATTAACTCTAATAATCTTCAACTGATCAGTAGCTGCAGGATTTTTTTTTATTTTTTTTATTTTTTTTTTTAATTTTAATAATCTGGCCAGTTTAGAGGGCTTTGCCAGGGAAAATGCTGGATATTTGTGCCTGTGTGTACTCTGCCTGCTGACAGGAATATTTTGTTCTGTAATTGTTCTTTAAGCCAAGAGGAACAGCTAAGTGACTGTGCCGATTTAACAGGTAATAAGAAGGAAAAACCTAACAGTAAAACACCAGAAATGTCTCCTTAGGAGAGGCAGTCAACAAACCATTAAAGCTGTGAAAAGCAGAGGAACCTTAAAGCATTTTGTCTTGCTATCCAGTTTCACCTCGGGTGTATTTTGAACAAGGCTGAAAGAGCTGGCACTGGAGAACCATGGAGTGAAATCTCAGCTTCATCCCAGTGAAACCTTTTGCAGCAAAAACGTTAATGAATGGCCACATCTCACTGTGGCTGAGAATGGCAGGATATTGTCTGTTACACCTCACAGTTCCAGCACCAATCCTGCTTTGTCAGCTCGATCCCTGAGGGCAGCACTGTGCCCTTGCCTTTGCGTGGGGCTGCTCCCAGGAGGAACAGACGCCTTTGTTCCTGGGCAGCTGTGCTTCAGGGGCTTCTGGCACAGCAGACCACAACGCTCAGCTGCCTGCCCAAGCAGGGACCTTAAAAATGTTCCAGCACCAATCCTGGTTTGTCAGCTCGATCCCTGAGGGCAGCACTGTGCCCTTGCCTTTGCGTGGGGCTGCTCCCAGGAGGAACAGGCACCTTTGTTCCTGGGCAGCTGTGCTGCCAGGGGCTTCTGGCACAGCAGACCCCAACGCTCAGCTGCCTGCCCAAGCAGGGACCTTAAAAATGTCAGTCTGAGGGGACCTTGCCCTGAGAGAGGAAATTAAAAGTATACACTTGCCTTTTTCTCGAGATGCTTAGCATTAATTTCATAGGTGCCTCTTTGTGGCATCCCTGCCAGAATGCACTTCCTGGTGCAGGTCAGAGCCCTGTGGGCAGCTCAGCCTGGTTCTTGGTGGGCACATGGGGTTGTGGGTGCTGGTGATGATGGAGGATGGTGGCTGTGCAGCAGCAGCACAGTCTCTTCCTGCCACATGAGACTGAATTCATTCCCTATGGATTAAAGGGCAAGGGGGTGCAGCCAAGAAATCTGTGCTAGTAATTTAATTTAGAATTGTATTCCTCGACCACTGTAGAGAATTTAATTTTTCTCATTTGTCCTGGGACAAATTCTTTCCCTAAATCCATATAAAGAACACTGATTTACTGATTCTTTTCCCAGGGTGTGCCTAATAATTTACTTTCCTTTTCAAAGTTTTGAGTGTTTTACTACTGGTGAAGGATTAAGCAGGTGGCTGTTTACAACACAAGTTTTCAACATGCCCACATCCATAGCAGAACACTGGAGTGTAAAACAGCAGTGAGCCAGAAACCTGTTGGAAAAGACAGCAGTGACAAAGGTTGCTCACATTAACTGCCAAAAACTGCTCTTTCTTTATTTTCTTCCTATTTTTTTTTCAGGCTGAGTGCCTGCCTGCTACACTGTGGTTTTTGCATGAGGGTGAAGAGAGGACTCTTCTCTGTTTGTGGTAGTGTTGGCTTATTTAGGTTGTGTATTTTGTCCTTCCTGTTGTTAATATAGTTTCAAAATGAGCAAGTCAGAGGGCATGTAGGTTCTAATTAGTAGTTATCTGAGGCAACTCTTAGAGCAGAAAACTCATTGAAATTGTTTTGGATTTGAACATACTGTATCTACTTGAGTGACAAAACGCTAGAAAGCAAAAAAGCCAAAGTTCTTTGTCGGAAGGCAATTGCTGCATAGCAACTGCATAGAGGGGATGCAGTGAAGCTTGCATGTGTTCTCCTTTGTTGCTATTTTTGTCCTTATTTTCTTCATGTTCTGAAATGTACAGAAATTCTTGAAGTTGTTGGAATGAGTTATTTCATTCATTGCTTCTTATCCTCTAAAAAAGAGAGAAGCAAATAACGGCAATTTGAGTTTTGTATTTTGGGAAGAAAAAATGAAATTTAATATGCTATTCGTGAAGGGATGCTGTGACTGAGATTTGAAATGAATGTGATCTTTGATATATGGAAAGCAAGGTTAAAGAAATGTAAAGATTCTCCATGATAGCAGATATTTTCCCCTGTCTGTTCATGAAGAGATGCTGTGACTGAGATTTGAAATTAATGTGATCTTTGATATATGGAAAGGAAGCAAGGTTAAAGAAATATAAAGATTCTCCATGATAGCAGATATTTTCCCCTGTCTCACTCCATTTTTGTATCTATCTACACAAATTTCTGTTTTTCTAAAATATGACCAACCTTACAAAACCAAAACTTACAAGAGTTATTAAAACATAATTCAACTTTGAACTTGATAATTCAACTTTGAACTTAATGGGAAACAGTTACTGGGAAGAATAACCTGTTTGTTGTATATTGTTAAATAAAACAGTGGGCTGGGTGGCTTAGCAAAAGGAAATTTGGAGAGTAATGGGATTGTAAAGTGTTTCTTAATTGCTAATAAACTTGTGAGTAAGGCTTTCCGTGTTGTGTCTGCGGAAATCTCATACAAAATGTGGGAGTCTGATGTTAACTGTCCTCTGGATGTGCCCTGCACAAGTGCCTGTTAGAGGGGTTTGGCCACCCCTGCAGCTGACACTGCAATGGGATTGCTGTTACTCTGTGTTTTATCACACTTCTGCAGTGGGACAGAAACTTGTTAGAGCATTAGGATTAAATAAGAACACAAACAGGAGAAGGCCACCCATTAGTGGGAAGTGACATCAGTGGGAGGGACTCAGGAAGCCTTTCCACTTCAGTGTGGAGGTGTCCCAGCAGGTAACTCTAAATGAAGCCCAGGTGCAGGTGGATCAGTTCCTAGTTGAAAGCATCCTAGTCTCCATCACCTTTCTCTATTGTGTTCAGTCTCTAAGCCAAAGGTGGAAACAGTGACCTTTGTATTTCTGGTACTATTTTCTATTGTACATCTACATTATAGAAGAAGGCACATGAGTATGTGACTCCTGGTTTTCAGAAAGCTGTAG